AAAAGGGAAGGAAATATTATAGTTTGCTCACACCGCCGTTTCCCATAAATTGTGCAAATATTTGCACTCGTAAGTGGATTGAAGATGGATGAGTTTATCATAAACGTACCTACTCATAGTTTCACACAGACTCGCAAACTTTTGTTTATACTTCGCGTAAGTACAATGTACCTTCGAACATACTTACATACTTACTTACATATGTATATATAAATATATATATATATATATGTTCATAAATATACATACATTTATATATTCATTGTACTATGTTTATGTGTGTGTGGCTGTTTGTAGGCGCATGTGCATTCATATTTAGTTAAGTATGTGCACACGAGCAGCATTTATTGGCACATTTAAGCTGCAATTGCCGTTACTGCGCACCCACTTTGATTCAGGCGAAATTTAGTAGAACATACATACATACATACATATGTACTCGTTTATGCAGTTTACATATGTATGTGTGTATTGCCTTCTTCATGTACTTTAGATAATTTTAAGGCGCGCTTTGAGTGAGAATCAATCAAACTGATTTATTTGAATATATCTTAAAATTATTACAAAATTTACTCGTGTTCGTATTTAAATTGATCACACATATAAAATATTCGCTTATCTCTTACCTGTGCGAAAATGATATTATAATATATTATTGTTATGTTCAATTTTGTGCATGGAAAGGGGGCTGCATTGAAGTTTATGTCAAATATACAAATGGCCGCGACTTTTCTGTGTTACCACGTCTTTTAATATGAATACTAAAATTACTTCGAAAATTTGCTGTTCTTCATAGTTAATGCCAACGATTAATTCAATTTACTTAGTAATTGCCTCACTCCAGTTGTCTGTACTGACCTTCGCTTTCTATAAATTACCTTTTTCGTAAGGAAAAAAGTTAGATCGCGTACATTTAGATCACAAAAAGTAAAGGCATACTTTCTCTCGTATTCCAAACAGTTTCAAACTCTCACTTTTCGCAACTGTCATTTCTGCTTTAAGGGGTTATATCCACTAGTGAATTTTAGTAAAACGGTTTTTTTGGAATATGTATCGTATATAAATATATTTGAAAATATTCTTCGTATATTTGAAGCTGATCTGGCAAATAGTTGAAGAGATAGGAATCTATTTGTAAGAACTCTTCAAATTAGGGAAAACTTTGAATGCGTTTTTCTCGAAACGCTGTTGGTAAATAAAAATATCTCCAAAACGACTTTTCACAGCGGGGGTTCTAAAAGTACATGCGCAAAATTTCAGATCGTTGTCTCGAACACTGTGGGACAAGCCAGAATTCTGCCGCTACAGCAACAACAACATAATTGTTAAAAAAATGTATTAATCATAACCTTCTTAGATATATTTGTCAGGTAACGATTGAAGAAATAAGATATTTGAAAATAATTTTGATTTTTCGAGCCCCTATGAGCTGTAAATTTTTTCAAAAAAAACTACTTTTTTTAGAAAGCCGAGATTTTATCAAACATCAAAATTTTGACTAGTCCTTCGATCATTACCTATATTTCTCTATTGTTATAATAAATAACAATTTTAAGCAGAAAAATCGTCCTCACCGCCAGACACATTTTATCAGATCCTGCTGAAGATCGGCTGCGAGATCAAGAGACTTCAAAAATTTTTGAAATATATCGCCGATTACTAAAATATATGAAATTCTATAAATGTACATTTTTTATTTATATATTTATTAAATAAAATAGATCTATGAAAAAAAATTCACAAACGATTTTTCTAACTTGTAAGTGGATATACTTGTAATCCCTTAATATCGTAGCAACTGAATCATATTCCATCAGCTTTGTATTTTCTTCGAAATCGTCATGAAGGTTTTATCTACTTACTAAGCTAATCTGGTCAATTTTCACATTTTTAAGAGAGCGCAAAGCTTGGACCGGTTTGCTTGGCTATGTATTTATAACCAACAACTTTTTTCTAGAATTTGCTCATCTTGACTACCATTTGTTTCCGTCGATGCAGAACGCCCTTATTGGAAAACGGTGCATATCATAAACAGATGGTACCATAAATTGATTCTTTGTTGGTCGCCAAGCCGGCGGAGTTCTTTTGTGATGGAATCCACAAATTGCCAGAAAGATAGGAAAGTGTTATTAACTTCAGATGGGCAATTGACCGTCTGGACTAAATTCCTGAAATTCTTAAGCATTTAACTTGATGATCCTAGATTTTACTCCGTTGGGAACGAATCCACCCTTCAAATCTTCCTTTTGCATCAAATTATCAGAAGCCATTAAAATATGCAATGGATTAAATAGGATTTTGTGAATTGTGGTCGAACATATCATACTTATGGCACTATAATACTCTTCAGAAAAAAGTTTCCCATACACTTTGATTGTGATGGGTCAGTTAGAATGGCAGTTATATGCTATAGTAGTCCGATATCAGCGGTTCCAACAAATTAACAGCTTCTTGGGAAGAAAAGTACATGCTCGAAATTTCAGATCGATGCCTCAAACACTGAGGGACTAATTCACGTATACACAGACAGACGAACAATGCTAAATCGACTTAGCTCGTGACGCTAATCATGTCTATAGATATTTTACAGGGTCTCTACGTAATCGGAACGGACACGGATTTTTATCCGGCAAAGAACTGCCAACTAGGCAGAATTTTGTCGCTCCAACAACAACAACATAATTGATAATAAAAATGTATTTATCATATTCCCCACTCAGGTTTTATTTTTTATTTGCCGTTCTTCAAACTGTTTGCAGAAAAACGGTTTGTAACCGCACTATTGGCAACGACTTTCAAACTTCATTATTAACTGTGGTCGCAAAACTGTGATATTCACAAACTGCATTATCCGCCAAAATTAAGAACCGGAAAACAGTAACATTCTTCTAGGGCGACATCTGTTGTGAAAATAAGTGTCTCAGGTAATTTTACATTTTAGCAGAGAATGTTAATTGAGCAGAGAATGTTAATAAAAAGAGAAGGCGCAAACAGAGAATGTTAATAAATAGAGAAGGCGCAAATGTTAGCTGTGCTAAATGTAAACTTCTAAAAGGGAACATCGAAAATGCGCAAATTCGAAAGTTCAATTACACCACGTCAAAAAGGTACCTTCCCCTCATGATAATCGAATTCAACAAACTACACCACTCTAAGCAAGAACCAAGTAAAGTTTCACCACCTCATAAAGGAACAGCTGATGTTCTTTAAGATGCGTGTTTAGGAAAATTAGAATAACAAAAAGATAAAATAGATTTTGAAGAACATTTATACAGTGGGGAAAAACTCCAAATTAAATTAAAATAAATTTATTACACAAGGTTTATAAAAATAAAAAAAGGAATAAAACTACATCAGTGCTAGGAAGTGAACTCAGGCAAATATTTGATGTGAATTTGCAAAAACGAGCTGTGCTAAACAAGCAGCACCACAGAGATTATAAATAAATATTTTCAAATCTGTGAACTCAAACAGCTATTGTCATTTACTAGTTTCAAATTATCAATTTATATGTGAATATTCTTGAAATTGCCTTTCCTCCATTCGAATGTCCAAATATATTTGCATATATGTACACAGATGTATGTACATATGTATGTAGGTATATCCCTCAATATGCGTTTTGAAAAAAAATCAAACATTGGCGCAAGCGACAAAAAACACACAGACGCACCATCATCGACCAATAACATTCGAGTAAGCTTGCGCTATAGTTTCTACATATTTCAGATTACAACGCCAACAAATTCATTCATAAGGAACCCGCGTATGCCACAAAACGGAGTGTGATCGTTTATAACTGCGCTCTTTTTCCTGTGCGCCTGGTAAACCACATTTGGTTTTCATATAGAATTCCTACCGCAAATGCGCGAAAATAAAAATGAATGAAATTGAATTTGTTTTCAGTAAAATTGAAGAATGAGCAAAATTTCAATTTTACAATTTGTATCACTGAAAATCCTACCATCCCCCTCGCGTTTGCATGTTGCCCACAAGCTGCTTCCTCACGACGGTGATAAAAATCTGAAATTGAAGAATTTGTCTGATGTTCTCTTTAGAAAGGAGAATTCACAACATGGTCTATTAGCGACTTAATATTATTTTAATTTATTTCATATTATGCATTATATATGACATTATATTATAAAATTTATATAAAATTGCCATTTATATGAAATCTTTAACTACTTCTATATATTCTAAGCACACTGCATATAGTATTTTTATATGTTTACTTATTATCATTATTTCATAGTTTTTCGATTTATCCTATATTATCTAAAAAAGAAGCTACGAAAATGCAGCCCAATCGGTAATCGCAGTATTTCAAAAGAGCATAAGCAGAGAAGCGCCAACAGAGAATGTTAATAAATTCATTTATTATTTATTTGTATATTTATTGACATTCTTTGACACCGCCTACTGCTGCATTTTGAGCGCCTGGTGCAAATTCAGTTTGCGCATTGAAAACGAAAAATCGAAAAAAAAAAAAATCATGCAATTTTTTTAGAAGACACACGAAGACTTATTGTAGCATGTAAGATATTTTTACATATTCATTGCTAAAAAGATTGATGTAGAAATATCGCAGCAACAAAAGATTTTCTTAATTCAAATTTTTTATATTTCCTACTAATCATATTAATTATCTTTAATTGAAGAATTTTAATACCAATGTTGAGTTAAAAATTATTAGCAGATTTGACAGGTAGGTTATAAATAAAGTATTTTCATATTTTTCAGATCGGATCATATACATACATACATATGTAAAGAATATAACTGCCATGCAAACTGGCTAATCAAAATCAAGTTGCTGTATGAAAACTTTTTTGTTTGTGAAGGGTATTATAGCTTCGGAAAAACCGAAGTTAACCTTTTCTCTTCTTTAAATTATGTTTAATTGAATTATTTATTTTGATGCTTTTTTGCGCAATTTGAATGGCACAGTATGTCGTAAAACACATAGCTGTTCAATTATTTAACAAATACACACAATATTTCATCATGTTTTTTCTCATCTATTTAACCATCGTTTTATTTATTTACATACTTATTTGCCTTAACAATAGTTCTTACGCTAACTTATTTCGTTATTCGATTTCTTAAATTATATTCTCCCTAAACTATTTTACGTCCGACTGCTCTTTTACCATTATAAAACACATTTCCCAAATCGTATCCAACCCTAACTTTATTTACATACATACATACATAAGTATCCATATGCTACACATGAAAATATGTACTTCTGTGTGTTATGACTCAAATTAGAACTAACTTAATTTACAACAATAAAATCAACTAAAACTATCACAGGCATCGAAAAAGCATTATTGCAGCCTCCGAGGACAACAACAACAACATATCATATTTTTCTTTAAATATTTATAACGTGAACCAGGCACTGCTACATTGAATTCATACACACACACATATATATACACATACATATGTACATGTGCGACTTAAGGCTGCGCAAAGAAATGGCAACAACGCGAATAGTCGCTAGCGACTTAGGAACATTAACGGCTCACGTAAACCTCCCAACTATTCATTCTTACGTATATAGCTACTACTTGCTACTGTTGGATCAGTTCATGGGCATGTTCACCTCCCACAATTTCATCTGATTGTCGAGCACTTCGTTGAACCAGTTTTGCTTCTCAGGCTCATGCCTAAATATGACATTCAATGATTTCAAATCTAATTGAAGAATTGCATCGTTGCCTAAGAGGCTATCCAATGCCTTGAGTAGCGTGCCATTGCCGTGCAACTTGAGCAATGTCACATACTTCACCACATAGTACTCGTATTGCAGTTTGCGCCGCGCCCAGCGCTCCACCGTCGCATTGGCGCTAGCCGAACGTATTTGCCCCAGGTGAACGGCATGCCATGGCGCAAAGAAATCGTAGAGGTCCTTCTTCGAAAGACTGTTCAAGCCTTTCGTTTTAATGCGATCCCTGATCAGCTGGTAGTTTTTTCGCGTGTAGACAAATACCTACAACAACAGAGCAAATAAATTAAAATACATTTTCATTAGATTTCGCACTTGCCTGGTACAATGAATTGCCCGTCGTGTAAGAGTTGATGTAGTGTGTGCCATAAGACTCCATAAATTCGATGGCGCCGGTCACATTACCGGCCGCTATTCCACCAATACGCTCATGCACGTCATTCTCCAGTGTCTGATTGAGCGGTATGTCGGCTTTGAATTTACCCACTTCTCGGAAACGCACTACACGCACCAGTACATACGAATATTCACCCATTATATAGGACGTGTTTATGCCCAGCTTCTTGGCGGCATTCTCGGCGAACCAGCCACCGGTAAAAGCCTCCCACGGTTTATCCAGCCGTTCAACCGTGAAATCTCGGAAGTAAGCCTGGTACAGCTGTCGTCGATTATCGCAGAATTCCATATGGAAGTCACCATGAAAGATGCCCGGCGCATTCTCTTCGCGACTTTCACTCAATGCGTTTAAATCCTACAAAGAAAATATTTTTTTACAGATGTAATAAATATATTATAGGACCAAACCTATTCTTTTAGAAGGTTTAGACATAAGTAAAAATCAGTAGTTCTGTTTTTCGAACTTAACCTTACAAATCAAAATTTCTGCTTACGAATTTTGAAATTGAGAACATTAAAAACATCATAAATTACAGTATGCAAGTTCCTAAAGAAGTAAAAAAATGGATATCATCCCCGTTTTCATTTTATTTCAATAGTGTACTTATATAACATATTTCGGTCAAAATTTTATATTTCTAAAAGAGTAGCCTGGCTTTAAAATTGGTTTCGTCCAATACCCAGCCGAGTATTCCACCGTGTAATCATTTCTTCGATATATTAGAAATTGATATAAGTGAGATATTCCAATTTAACTAATTAAGTGTATTGCAGTTCTAAAATTGGATATGATCGGTTTTGAAATTGCCTAACAACGAATCACTAATTTCCGCGACTACTAATGATACATATTCGTAGAAACTTGAAGTATTTCACACACATTTAATTTGAAAGAGTATTGGCTGATTTATATAAAACTTTCCTCACTTTGCTTGACTGCTCATACTTTAGCATCGGAGCGAAACAAACAGAGGGTATGTCGGAATGGACGCTTTGCTTTCCGTCCTTTTCTTTGAAAAAAGTATTCATCGCACTTACCTATCAAAGAAATATTCTGAACCAAAGCGAAACCAATCTAAATTAGTGCCTTTCAATGCTGAAATTGGTATGGCTTGAATATCACTTAGAACTTTGAACCTACTTGTTTCCAAATAAACAGAGATCTGGGACATCTTTTAACCAAGGTAGAAAGAAATACTACCAGAATTTATATATACATCTGATGCAGTAGGAAACCTCGATCTAACAGATCCTTTTTTTGGTAATCTGTTTAGGACGGCAATCTTTTCTTGTCAAGAGCGCCCTAAAACAGTAGCGGGATGAAACTGTCGTACTTTTTATTTAACATATTCTTCGATAAAGTCAGCTTTCTGCCTCTGTTGTTGGCAACTACAACATTGATGATAAGATTTTGTTCCGAAAATAAGATTCCGACTATGGACTAATGGTTTTAATTATCAATGCCTATACTTAATGAAAATGAAAAAAAGGTGATAAACCTGAAGGCTTAAGAGAAAAATATACTATAGTATTCAAATGTATTTATATAGATTACTAGCTTAACCAATATTTTATCAACAGAGGTGGAAAAACGTAATTAAATATATTGATGATACAAACATTTAACATAAATACAATATAATTCTATGGTAAACCACAAAAACATTTCTTTGGAAAGTGCTAATTGAACTGTGCGTAATATAAATGCTTTTGACGATATATGATTTTCTTATAAGACAGAATTATATGTAAAGAAAAAATTAATATTTAGTAATTACTCTGTCAAACAAATAAAAATATTAAAAAAATTAAAAAAAAAACTTCAACTTTCAAAACTTGCTATATATAATAATTTGTTTTTCAATTTCTATATTTATATATTTCTATATATATATATATATGTACATATATAACTGATTTATCAAACCTTAAACTCATCTACGTCTATGTACCTTATAAATTGACTTTGTCGGCTCCTTGAATAGCCATTTATCCGCCTCGTAGCTGTCATTGTATGGTATAACACGCATCGATATCCCCAGATAGCCATAGCGCACGAATATGTTGATGGCCTTACCGATGCGCAGTTGTGACTCACGAGTACCGCCGAACGACAGATTACAGGCTACGAAAAAAAGTGCCACCAGCCAGAACAGACCATTACCCAGGTTCATCGCTCATGCGGCGTAACGTTTACATAGAAACGTTTCAAATGTATGTGCTGGACAACCGAAGTAACTGTGAACGTTACAATTATATTGAAATATTTTTAAATTAAACAAAATAATTCATGCAGAAAAATCATGATAAAACAAAAAATTGTAAATACGCAAACCAGCACACCTATTAAAATTTGCTGTACAAAATTTGTATATATGATCAAATGTTGGGGTATTCTCAAGGTCATCTGTGCGCAGAAACTCGTATAAACCTACGTTCGGCGCCAAATGATCCAAATCCGAAAAATTTTAATGTTTGTATATAAGTATACTATATACTTATACATATGTATGTGATTTTGTTGTTATAAATAATTTGTTTTACCAAACTTTCAAAATAGTGTTAGTAATTTTATTTCATGAAAGCTCGATTTTTTATACTTTGGCAACGGAAATAATGGAATAATTTTGCAGTGGTAAAAATTAAAAAAAAAATTTAATTACTTGAGCTGTCGCCAATATTCAATTGCTACTCCCACATATTTTTTATTGTGCCATCATTACTATTATATAATATTAGTAAGCAAAATGTTTAATGCATTGCGGTAAAGTGGAGCTGTTTTAAACACTATATACTCGTATATTTTGCAATAATACGATCTCCGAAGAAATTGGTCAAATCGAATCACAAACTGAACGATCGGAATCAAGTGCTTGTAAGTAATCTTTTGTATTTGTGAAGGGTATTATAGCGTAGGTGCAACCGAAGTTAACGTTTCCATTTTCCCTGTTTTTTGCTTTCCATTTCTTTATGTTGTACAAGTATTTTACGATTATGTATTGTATTGATGTATTTTCGATTTCTTTAAATAAGTTCACAAGTTAGCCTCAATTATAATGCAAACCGACAGAAATACCAAAATCTAGCATTAAACTGTGTGTTTAAAAACATGAAGCTTCTAATCACTCAAAGGCATCAACAATTAAAGAAGTGATTTGCAACAGCGAATTATCTTGTTTTTCGAGGCGGTTATTTCTGTTCTTGCATATAATCACTTGTAATCAGATACCATAAAATGTAGAGATAATGATGCTAATATTTCTCGCACTTACTAACAATAGTAGCTTAAACTTGAACTTGCACATATGTATAAACATACATATGTATATGAAATGAATATGAGTATACATATGAGATCCAAATTGACCGTGATTCATACAGTGGTAAACTTGACATCGGATGAACCATCGACAACAGCGCTCACCATCACCACCAACATTAATGATCGTCGTCGTAAACTTTCAAAAAGCATAATTAAAACGCTGAATCTAGTAAAAGCAAAAAAAATAAACGCTACAAATGGCTTAGACAGGTGACAACACGCTAACAACAACAAAAACAACAATATAAATTACATACATATGTATATTATATTATATTATATATAAACAACGCGCGACCAAAATTAGTCAAATGCCAAACAGATACATACACACAAATGAAATACATACATAAAACTGTAATTAAAAATCATATATGTTTAAAATCAACGGATAAGCTGAAAAAGAAAATAAAATATGCACATTCGCGCCGCGACACAAAGCGGAAGAGATTTGCATTTGCATTCAAGCTTTTTAAAGAATCTCGCCAATTAACTGAAAAAGCGTGCTGATGGTCATCGAAACTCTTTACTGCGAGGAGTACTTAAAAGAGCTCTGATGGCATGTGTTTAAAAATTTGTTTGAGTCTAATTAGGAGTCTCTAAAATTTTATGATTAATGAGGCCTTCGATAATACCAAGTTATTCTAAAAAAAAACTAGAGGTCATCATTTCAACATAATTTTGTTATAAAGAGGGAAGAATGGGTATCCGCAGTGAAACTCCGTTTAATAGACTTAAGTTTAATTGATTTCCTTGCTCATTTGCATAACCCGCTTTGACAATATAATTTAGCATAAAAAGACATGTTGCGTGGTTAACTGTTACTAATTATATGCTTATAATATATATAAAAATATTATTATCTAAATATAGGAGTGCCAATATACAAGTCGTACAAATACGTTTGCATATGTGGCTTTCTTATTTTCCCTTTCCAGTTGAAAATATAATTTAAATATCATTGAAAAAGAATAGAAAAGTATTTAAAGTTTATATGTTTTGTTGCACTTCTTTTGTCGATTTTTGAAAGAGTTACTCTATTTTTTTTAACATTGTTAGGAAAATAGAGGGTTTTACAAATTTTATTAAGTAAAGATAAATGCATATGTATATACACGAAGACTAACCACATGGTTAATTAGATTATTCAATTAAGTAGGCTTACTGAACGTTAGAAGGGTATTGGCTAATATTGAGGCTTTTTAAGCTCTTCTGTACCGTTTTGTTCGATAAATTGTTGCCATTTTGAAGATAATTTTATTATATCACTCTCGTAGAAACTCTGGTTTTTTTTTCTTGAATAAAATTATACGCTATGGCCTGGTACAGGTAGTAATCATTTGGTGCCAGATCCGGCCTGTAAGATGGATGTGTAAGCAAGCCCGAGGAGCTTCTGCCGAATCATTATTAATGTACGTGGTACAGTACAGGTCGTAATTAAGATTTTGGCCATAGTGGAGTAGCTCATATTCATGATTCTCTGCCAATAATAAAAAAACACATAGCAGAACCCTCCTGACTGTCAATAGTAGCTTCGCCATGAGCTTTTTCACTTTACTGCATCAAATTTACCGGAATGGAATCGACGAAACCAAAATTGTTATATCATATATTGTCAGGACGATAAACATTATGGCTTTTCTTCTTTATCGAAGAGGAGCTGAAAAATATGGCATATTTTCATCTTTGCTAGCTAGGTAAGCATAGTTTACCCAGGTATGACTATAAATTAAAATTTTGCTTAAATTGTAGCCAACCATCTTTTTGATTAGATTGTACAATTAAGTGAGTGTCCTTTGACTAAATGTTAAATGGATATTGTGTAATTAATTCCTCTGGAAATATTGTATTTGTTTGTGCGAAAACGATATAGGCGTTTGCTTAGTAGTTATATAGTATTTAAGTTTTTACACGATTCATTTAGCAAATAATGAACGCAAAAGCACAGAAAGTTTAGCAATAAATTTTGTTGTAAAGTCGCGGAATGCAGGGCAGACGATAACAAAGGAGTACGCTTCCTAATGAGTTTAACGCAAAACAACAACCACAACGCTAAACACTTGCCAAGTCATAATCATAAAAAACGGCCAAATGAATTATAATGTAAAAGCAAAACTAAAACTAAACAACCAAAGCAAAACAAAGCGCTCGGGAAAAACTGCAAATTCGAGCGCAAATAAACTGCACAACCGGTTGCAACGCCAGGCAAATTCCTGCTCATATCACTTACGATACATGATACCTGCATGCAAACATGCAGATCTATTATTGTAAATAAACATATGTAAGTGTGTGTGCACATCACTCCTCAGCATAACAAAGCAAAGCCAGGAAACGCAGGCACGAAGCTTGCGACAAGCAAATAAAGTGCTGAAAAAATGTCAATATGACAACGGTGTATGTGAGGAGTCGCAAAATTTTCAGAAGTTTTCTGGTTTTCGATTTCAATTGCAGTACATTTTACAGGCAAGTGCATATAATTACAGCTGTAAGAATGTATGTGTGTACATTCGTGTGCAAATTTGAATATGCATTACAACAATGTGCTGTTGCTGCAGTTGTTGGTAATTCAATATGAGCTTAAACAAAGAGTAATGCAAAGTCTGTGTACTTGTAGCCGGCGCTGTTGTTGTTGTAGCTTTCAAGTGAATATTCTTCAAAAATCAACTTATTCGAACGGTGGCATACTGATATTGCATTGACACATGCAACAGCGTGCATCTTGATTCAATTTACACATATGAAGATATGTATATAAATATTATATATGTACGTAAGTGTGCATATATTAACTGAATGATATTTTTGGCTAAAATAGTTTGTGAAGTTCAATTGTATATCAGTTTTAAAAGCAGAGAATGTGAATTGGTCTGAATAGCGTTTGTAAATATGAACACAAATGTTATTGTTACATTCATCTTCTAGCCAAAAACTTACAAAAAATTAGTATCGCACCTCTATACAAGGAATTAATGGAAAATATTGCATATTTAATTTAGAAATGGTCCAAAAATAACGTTTATAGAATGAATCGGGAAATCATTATTTCTGTCGAAGGGTTTTTATAAAGTGCTATACTAAGGAGCACACCTGGTGTGTAATTTCGAAAAAAATTTTTTTTTGCATATCTCGATAGTCTATATTTTGAAAAATCAACAAACTATAATAAAAATAAAATAAAAATATTTTTTGAGTCACTGCAAGGGTTGCGAATTTTTTAATTCAAAAAATTGGGATTATAAATTAAATTTTAATATTTTAATCTCGATGTGGGGAAATAGATTTTAATTTTTTAATCTCGATGAAAATCTGAAATATTACTTTTTGATTTGAATGAACACGAAAAAATGTTAATTCTAAAGCAAATTCTTTTTTTTAATCCTTAATTATATGTTTAATATTATATAACAATTTTTCTTTTTAATTGTTCAATCCGGTATGTTTAATAAAAATTTTTTTTAATCCGGTATGCGGGGTTAATCATATATTTTGGGATAACAAAATTAATAAAAAAATTTAATTCAAATGTTAATTCAATTATTTTTGAAGGCATTATTTGCAAACCTGGTCACTGCCTTCGAAAGTGAGCCGCTCAGTTCAATCAGCTCAATCAGCTTATATTTATCGCGTTTTTCTCAAAACTACATTTTCAAATTGGCTGCAGTTGTATCTCAAGGCAAATCATTCGTTCGCTTTGATTTTTTTCTGCATATTTAGTATATGTTTCTCTGTACAACTACGCTCCAGTTTTTCAATTGTATTGCAAAATGTAATTTTTAAACAAAATTCAAAATTTTTTACCATTGCGTCAAATTTTAATTTTGCTTAAACCATCATATAATAATATTTTTTTTAAAGAACGTTGAAGGTAGTAGCACGGTTTTAATTTAGAAATTTAAGAAAAGCGATAATTCGCTATTAATTAAACAATATTAATATTTTGTGTATATTCATTAGTTTTGTATAAATACACTCTCATAATTTTAAAACATTTAAACTAACTTCATTTAGGCGGTGAAACTACATAGGTCCCGTAACGAAAAAATGTCGCACCTTAGGATACAAAAACCATCATCTGATAGCTATCATGTTAATCAATTAATCAATTATATCAGATTTATATGAAAACGAAACGACATTTCACTTAGAGGCGGCCACAATGATTAGTGATTTTACGGTGATCGAAAATTGA